TGCAGTATCAGTCCGGAGTACTGTGTATGATGGCAGTGTTACTGCAGCATTTTGGATCCTTGGAATTGCCTAAATCCAAGTCCAAAATCTCTGGATTGGGGAGATGGCATTTTCACCCAAGAGGAGTTGCCCATGATATTTTACATTTGGATTTATTTTAAATTGTTTTTGTTTGTGGACTTACTTCAAAAACGGCCAAGTTGTAATGTTACTTTAAATTTTAAGCAGGGCTAGTGAACTCCCTAGGCAGGAAGTCTGAGAACAGAATATTCCATGGAGGAGACATCACCACCTGCTCCACGAAATAAATCCCTAGTCTACATGGGGATAAGAAAACGCCCGGCTGGCCCAGGTCAGCTGACTCAGGCTCATGGGGCTTGGGCTCCGTGGCTGAAAAATTGCTGTGTAGATGTCGAGGGTCCTAGAGCTTGATCTCCAGCCTGAGCCCAAACGTCGACACAGATTTTTAGCACTGCGAGTCTGAGCCAAATGAGCCCCCAGTTTTTTATCCCTGTGTAGACCTACCTCTTGAGTTCAGCGGGGTTACTCCCAGTAATAACCACTACACCTAGTGGTATATGATAGCAAGAGGGGGCCCTAAGTGTTGAATGTAAATCTCTTTCCTAGGGTTGCAGGTATCTTTGCATCTTACCACCCAATCCTGTGACTAATAAAATGACACATTTAACTTTTGCGGAAAAACAATAGAGCATTTATGAAAGGCTGGGATTTGAAGACTGAGGGACTAGTTGTGTTGAATAGGGATGCCAGTAAACAGATCTTTTCTGTCTGTTTTCATTGTTTGGAATAGTGTTCGGTTTGCTTCAGTGGGGACAGATTCTATGGTGTAATGTTTTGAAGTGCTTTCCATTACTTAAGGAAATCTTCCTTTTAATAAAGAATAGGGCGGAAGGCAGGGAACATTTTAGATTGGGGCAAGTAATTGCATTTTTTCCACATTTCCAAATATATCATTTGTATTTTTATATATATATATATAACTCATTACCTAGAACGACTTCATTTTTATAAACTCCGTTTACTATCCAATATTAATTAAGCAATTAATTCTGATCAGCATGTGAAGCTTTGAAAATAAATTACCTTAATTATACTAAAATGGAAAATGTATTCCCTGCTAATGGGGGCATTTGGGAATAGTGTTAGCAAAGACTTTCCGGATGGGCTTGACATGTTGAAGGTTTAACTCTTTAGAACTGTGTATGTGTGGTGTGTTGCATCTAGCAAAGAATCCAGCTGTGACGTTAACTGACAAAATAGGGTCCTGAGACTTAACCTGTCAGAGGAAAATAATTGATTGTGTTTCTTGCCGATCTGCGTGTTCCATGTGGAGAGCAGTATGTTTTGCTGCTAGCATGACACTGAATATTGTGAAGGCAATAACAAGGTGGGGGAAAATCAGCCAGATTAGAATACTGCCTTGAATTGCCTGTTTACTTGAGTTACCAGACCCCTGTCAATACAAGTACTGTATTCTCCGGGGTGCTTTGGGCTGCCTTCTGAAAGGACAGGTCTTTTTGTGGTTTTTACTTTGATGTTCTGCACAGTAGAAGTTCAGGTGTTTAATTTTAGAACATGAAGTGCCTGCTGTTTAAGCGTTGACTTGTATTAACAAAATTGCATGTCTCACACCCAGTAGGTTTATGGGTTTCCCTCCATTTCTAGCTACATGGCTTTTAATCATGTCAAGTGGAAACATTAGTTTTGCCGCGTTTTATTACAAATCCTTTTTGTTGCAATAAAGATGCTGCTAAATAAATTGAACTAAATGTTTTTCTATTTTAACTGTCTCTTTTCTTGATTTAGTGGTGGTTATTTAAGAGTATAATTAAGTCCCCACACTCCGATTCCACCCTGGAGAGTGGCAGTGATGTAAAGTGTGTGAGTGTATTAAATTCTAGTGATTTTCTTATCTTCATCTGTGACTAAGTAAATCAATGTAAATAGGAGGATTGGCACGTGCTTGGATTAACTACAAAGTGTTTTCTGTTGGAACAAAAAGGGAATGAACTCAGCTCTCCTGCGCCGATAGATTCTGTGCAGTTAACAGCCCTGGCTAGCCACCAGTTGGTGCTGCAGCACAGGGTAAGGTGCGTCATTAGTCATGTTAAACACATTGTGCCAGATTCACAGCTGTTGTCAACTGGCGCCGTTCCATTGCTGATTTACTCAGCTCAAGATCTGGCCCAATATGGGAATTGAAAGCCAACAGAAAGACTTGCTGGAGCCTGATTCTGGTCTTGCATGCATAACTGTATGTGACTGCATCCTGCAGAATCTGATCTGCAGGCGTGACAGCCAATGATTGTAATTTGCGTGCCTAGTACACCAAGCATCTGCATGTCTGGGGTTTGAATTTGGTGACAGATCTTGTAGGGCACAGAAGGTAGCAATGGGAAAAGACATGGTGCACTTTGCAAGTGGATGACTTGAGGGGACGCCTCTGTTCTTGCACTGACACTACGCTTGGGCTTAGCCAAAATAGTTCAAGCTCTCTGGGGTCTTCCCTTGATGTCTCGGGATTTTGGTAGTTTCTTATTAAGGCTCAAGAGTGAAATGTGTAATTACCTGTGCAGCAAGAGGAGAGCATTCCCTTCCTTAGGAAAGGCTTCCCCCCCTTTAGCTTTTTGGAGCCTCAGCTGCCCCAAAATGCACTGCCCCACAGAACCTCCTGTAGCATTTGTGGGCTGCCTGGTCTCAGGGGTTAACTTTTTCCCTTGCCTCTGCACAGTCACGGTGTATATCTGTAGGGGAAGGGAAGGAAATGCATTGACTAAGCTTGGAACCCTCCCCAACATGTCAATACAATCACTGGCTGGGGATCAGAGAGAGAGGAGCAAATATAGGCCCTCTTCAGAACTCCTTTCAACACTTGAAAACCTGGAACCAACTGTGCAGAATCTTTCAGTGCTCTGGATGGTCAGGGGAGGTCTACTTGCACCAATCTCAGGCTTTGGGGGTGTGGGGGACACAGCCAATTAACCCTCTCCACATTTCTGCTTTACAGCTCTGTAGGGAAGGGAGCCCTGCGCCTGAAGTAGTGCCGCACCTACAGTTTAAAACATTTTCTATGAATTCCCCTGCCCTCTTAAAGAGTGCCACAAAAATGGATTGAGGGGGCAGGGGGAGCGTCGTCTCTGAATATAGACACTCTGGTTTTATTTACCCCTTCATTCCAGAATTCTTTTACCCACATTAAAAAAAAAAAAAAAGTCCTTCCCCTGTGGTGGATTTTAGGAATTAAGGGGTTAATTAATGAGTGCTTATGTGTCACCCTGTAAAAAAGTGTTACACTTCTCATGATAATAGTCACTTTGTTCCCTGTTTGTACAGCCCATAGCATAATAGGGCCCTGATCCCTGACTCTGGCCCACAGATGCTACTGCAATATAGCTAACAAGAATTGTAACCGTGACACCCAGCTCTTAGAATCCTGTACCCTGCGGCACCTGCTAATATATTAGCTGCTGCTTTAAAGCGGAGTTGATTAGATTTTTTTTTTAATTGCTACAGCTCAGGGAGAAGGTGGCTTCACCAAGGGCTGCTATATTGTAGGTTGTTATAGCAAAAAAAAAAAATGGAGAGTACCTTTTATGAGAGTATTTATGGCCTCGTTACATGTTTAGCCATTCAGAACTGGGCAGCTGCAAAGATTTATACTCCGTGTTTACAGCTGGCTATGAAACTGCTATTGAATAACCAGACTGAGTTCTCAGCCCAACCTATTCCATACCACAGTTTAACATAAGGATAGTATTTTCCTATCAGTGCTGCAGTAGAAACTGCAATAGCAATTAATCAGGTGTTTAGCCAAATGCTGGCACTGTAAACTCACCTTCCACTTGTCTTGTTCTGCTGATTTATAAAATGTTCCTTCTGCGAGAGAGCCATCCGCCACTAATGTGGGGGATTCAGAGCAGCACCTGACCCCATATTGCCTGGAACAGCAATCTCTTCACTGGTTTACTCGAGCCTGCTTTTGCTTTCACTCTCACCTGTTCTGTGCTTTAAAGTATCGAAGTTTTGATTCTTTGGCTGAGCAAGCTTTCCCCCCACCCCCATGAAGAAATCTGCAATCTCTCTGGAACATCTGGCCGAGTTCATAGGTAATGAAGGCCCACTTCTAGTCCTGTTGAAAGGAAAAGGCAATATCCTCTTGATTTTTCAACTGGAACAGGAACAGGCTTGAAGTTACATGGTCCTTATTTGCTGATAGATGATTGTGGAGTAACTTTCAGCAGGGGGAATTAGGCTACTCTGATCAGTATAATGCATCCAGTTTGCTGAACTCAAACACCTATAAATTTGTTTCATTCTGCTTAGAAATCTTAGTTAAGAGCCAAATGAGGGACTGTTGATAATTACATGGTGCAAATGTTAAAAATGAGGTGCAGTGTATGTATACAAAGTGGGTTTTAATCAAGTCCTAGTCTGGCTATCTGAATAGTCGCAAACAAGTTATTAAATGACTCCTGTAACTAACCAACACAACTCAGAGTTTGGATACTGCAACTGGGTGTGCAATTTGAAATGCATTAGTTACAAATATTTGTGGCTAAAATTTGCTTTCCCCAACTATTGGGGTTAGTAAAGCTTGACCAAGATGAATGCACAGGATCGAACTGAAATTAATTTCTGAACTTAAATGAACGTTTTCAGAAACCTTCCCCCACTTTTTGTTTACTGCGAATGCTAAGCCCTTCTCCTACCACTAGCTGTCTTGTGTTGATGATGCTTGTGTTCCAGACTGTGACAATTCTACTGCCATAGTGGGCAGTAGCTGTCAGTAACAGGAGCCCCTTTGACAGTTCACAACAGGGCATGTAGCTGTAACCTCAGACCTTCAAGTGAAGGGAGATGGGTGGGAGTCTATCACCATTCTTAAGATGGTCACACCACGACCCTGGTTGCCATCTGATTTTTGAAGGGCAGCCATGCCCAAGCGCCTAGTTTCTGAATTACA